TGAAATAGCAAAAGATCAAGGCATTTTAAGTATCAACAAAGAGTTCTCAAAGAAAAAAAATGAAGCGTACCACTTAAGATGTCGTAGAAAGATGAACTGGTGCATGTGATGCGATAGGAAATTGGATTTTAGATTCGTGTGTGAGCTTAAGTGCAGATGGTGTAGTTTTTTTTGGACAGAGTTCTTTTCACAACAGAAATTAATCCAATTTATAAGATATACGAATCAGGCTTACGTTTTGAATTGAATTCTCTCAAGCTATCAATCAAACATCCGACTTACACGGATTGCTCGCAGATTGTCCGGCCATACTTAGAAATCCTTCAAACAAGGAAACTTAGCTATGTATAAAACATTGCAATATCAGGGAAAAAAATCGTTATGTAAATAAGCATTTATTTATGAATTAAAATATCTCTCAAGCTTTCAGTGGATCCATTTATAATTGCTTCATAATACATTCAATTAGGAAAAAATGCAGATAAAAGACAGTTTAAATACATCATTTGAATACGTGTAGTCATTGATACACTGATATCTGTCCCTTGAGGAAATAACTTGACATTTCAAACTAATTAAAAGTAGGTTTTCGTTATATTTGTATTTATTCCAATGAACAAATTCTCTCCAGTTTTCAATGATGATTAGCCAAGAATCTGCCGAGATTATTTCCTGTAATGGATTTGCTCTGCTTTGCCTGAGGAAAAGTTCATTAAAAGTTTAAGGAATTTTATATAGACATATAAAATTGGAGCTGCCAAAAGTATTTAACCTTGGTCAGACTGTACAGATGTGCAGGATGACCTGGCTCTTGACCGGTGACACAGGCCAATCACTTTTGTTCGAGCAGGTTAATGGTCATCACATGATATTTTTTTAGCTTTTTAAACTCAGTTCCTTTTGCTTAAGAATACGTTCATTGAATGCCGTTCGCCCTTGTTGATTCTTGTTTTTTGTTGTTGTTGTTTTTTTCATTCCTTGTCTTTTACATATATCATAACATTCAATTTGTTTATAAAAATGTTTTCTTTATAATATCTTTAGAAAAAGGAAACCATACACAAAACAGTAAACAGACCATTCTTAAATACATGGTAACGTCATTAAAAATCATAAAGTATGAAGCATAATATTTGCATATTGTTTTCAACAATACATTGACTATGCATTTTAGTCGCTTAATTTTCAGAATAGAATACCAAAATGTACAAGTCATGCCATAATTATATTGCCACAAAACAACATTTTTTAAACATATGTTTGGTGGCTATGTCATAAATCATGAACGCAGTAACACATACAATACCCCCTCCCCGATTTATATCAGCGTACAAATGTAATTGTTAGATGCATTTTTAACATAATATGTAATCAAAATGACGAAAATTTGCATAAAAACACGTTTTTGTAACAAAGTTTATAAGAACAAATAAATTTCAAATGTCTTAAGGACATGTTTGACTTTTAAAGAACCCATTTTACATAATATATATTATTATCTTTAAAGTAAAGTTTATGTCCATTGAACATATTTCCTTATCACCAATTGAAATAAAAACAATCTTATTATAATATTATTCTTGTATAATATTATGAAAATTCGAAGTTTTGAAATGGTTTTCTTTTCTGAAAAATAAATGTTAACAAAACATATCAGCAGTTATTTCCCCACATTTTACACCCTAAAGGAACCAAATAAAGTTAACATTTCTATTACTTTTGGGTATTTCTTTCATCTAGCAAAGATCAAAACGTTCGTTTTTTGCGATAATCTGTAAACATACAGTTCTGTTAATGAGCAAAAACTGTCTGCAAATGTAAAAGAGAACTAGCATTATTTAAAATCGTGTAATTTCAAACACACCAAATATAGAAACTCTTGTGCAATCTGGCAAGAGTTCTCTAGCAATATCGGCTAATTACGCACACACTTTTTTCTGTTAGATTGTTTACATCAACTAATGCAATGGTGATATAATATTTCCTAATCAAATAGTAACAAAACATTAACTTGTACAAAAATATGCGTGAACGTTTCTTTAGGTAATGAGTTACTTCTGTATGCCGTTTCTGGAAAAGAGGTAGTCATCCGAACAATGGTCTGAAAAAACTCTGTTGTCCCTTATGACCAATTAGCATACAAAATAACACTTTGGAACATACCTTTATAAATTATGCAAAAATAACTGTGTTTTGTAACTTCTAATAGACTGTTTGTCATCAAAAGATAATAAAAGATGACAACGAAAATAACAGTAGATAATTGTACTTGTAATTAAAAGTCATATTATGATCAAAAACACAGTTTTTTGAGGCAATCCGATGTTGGACTGATTGACCTTGAACTTCGCTTATAAACCTTGATTGATTATCAATCAATGGCTACCACATTTTGAACTATGGTATAGTTTTATGTGCCGTATAAAAGTTTTACATTTGGTGATCAAAATGATAATGCTCTATAAAACATAAAAAATGTTTGCCAGATATAAAATATATAACTGACCGCGTGGGTTCAAACCCTGTCAGGGGCAAGCCGTTGTTTCATTGAGCAAGAAACTTTACATTCATTGCTTAGTACTGGTTGGTTCCAGGAACGGATTCGAGAGTGTTTCAATAAGCTTAAAGCTTCCAACACATTCGAACTAAAATAAATTTGTATAAACTAAACTTAAACGTATAACTATTAAAGGATCTGTAATAAGGTCCGCAAGTCTAAAAGCATATCCTTGATTGAAAGCCATTTATACTTGATGATCAACTGCGGTACTTAAACCATGAAATATATTAAAGCTACAATAAAGAAATATACTAAAAATCAAATTAGAAATCAATGTTTACTGCAATTGTTAGTCTTATTCGAGTTAAAAACGCTTTTCATTTTTAAGCTCTTTTGCACAATAAAAGTATAGTTCTGCATATACAGAGTGAGTAAATGGTTGTAATAAATGATTGGTTATTGGTTCAAACCAATATGAAATCGTATAAACATCTAAAATAAAAATTTTCCAATCCTCCAATCCTGTAAAAAAACTCTGTTAAGTTCCTTCAAATAAATATCATTAAAGAAAGCATTGCTGTTCGGAATATACCTATTACAAGAACTATACAATGTTTAGAAACATAATGTTCTAACTTGTATTTCCCCCAAAGCAAAGAAACCATTCTGTAGACAAGCAGTTTTGTCTGCCATATGTTACAATATCTCTTTCATCTTCTAAGATGTCTCCTAATATAGTATAAGATATTGCGTCGTCACCCAAGGCGGTGTCAGGACACAAGTATTTACGAGATTTACATATTTATAATACAGTCTTGTTTGAGATCCACTACACAAACAATTTACAATTTTACAAAACTACATTCTAATACTTATTCGATCTGAATTCTATTGATGAATAAGATGTATTTTCCAAATCAGATCTGTAAGTTCAATAAATTGCATGACTGTAGCATTTTATATATTATATCAATTAACCTTAAAGGGGAGCGGTGGCTTAGTGGTTAAGGTGTCTGTCTCTCAACTCGTGGATAATGGGTTCGAGCCGTAATCGGGTCACGACCATGTTTATTCATATGACACCAGTACTGGTTGGTTCCAGGAAGCGAACTGGAAAGTGATAAATATAAGTTGCAAGAACTTGTTTCACAATCGCGCTTAAATGAATATGTTTAAACTAATTAACCTGTAAACAGAACGTTGCAAGTATGGTACATGTACCAGAATATTAAGTTTTACATCAAAGCGGCAGCAACTTCTTAAAGCTACGTAACAATTAGTATTTTTCTACGATTGTCATATATATTTAATACATCACAACAACATACTCTTGTCTGTAACATGGCATTATGTCTGTAACATAGATATAGTGTCTGTAGCATGTGTCTTCAACAGGGATATAATGCCTGTTACATAGGTATAGTGTCTGTAACATGGTATAGTGTCTGTAACATGGTACAGTTTCTGTAACATTGATAAAGTGTCGATAACATGCGTCTAAGTCTTTAACAGGGATACAGTGTCTGTTTCATGGTTATAGTGCCTGTTACATGAGTTATGTGTCTATAACATAGGCATAGTGTCTGTTACACTAGTATATTGTCTGTAACATTGGTATAGTGTCTATTACGTGAATAAAGTGTCTGTAATATGGGTATTGTGCCTGTAACATGAGTATATGGCATGTTACATTGGTATATTATATGTAACATGGGTAAAGTTTCATTAACATGTGTCTAGGCAACAACAATATAATTTTTGTCACTTTTGTTTCATTCCCTCGTGTACAGATTACAATCAAGTTGTTTATTTCCTGAATATAGATGTAGATGCGTTCTCAAAATGTCTGGATATAAAATAAAAACTTCCAGTAATGCGGCATAAATATTAGCCTGAGCTATTTGCATGGCAATTAAGATAAAAGTCAACACACTTAATCGGCAATTGGTTGTCCAATATGTTACAGTTAATTACCAATTTATTCCCTATGAACAGCTGGCAGTTAATGTTAGAAGAATCAACATTTCTGAGGTTTTGTTTTATCATCATATTATGTTTTCATGGTCTCGTATCAAATCAGATATATTGGCTCGTATCGAATAGAATATATTGGCTCGAATCAAACCAAAATTATATTGGAACGTATCAAATCTGACAAATTGACTCGTACATGTCGTACTTAAACAGATATACTGCTTCGTATCGAATCAGTTTTTATATCGGCTCGTTTAAAACCAGTTATATTAGTTCGTATTAAATTTAACAAGATATGTTTGTAAAACATGTATGCCCCCTATCAGCAGCCAATTATTCATGTGATAAGGTAATTATGCATGACTTCTGACCCAGTGATCAAACAATTAATAAGGGTTATCAAGTATCTACTGGTCATGACCTTGACCTTTGACCCCTTGACCCAAAACTCAATAGGGGTCATCTGCTGGTCAAGACAAATCATCATAAAAAGTTTGAAGTTCCTAGGCCTAAGCGTTTTTACTTAATTGATCAGAAACCGTTTTTACTTACAAGGTCAATGTGACCTTGACCTTTGACCCCTTGACCCCAAAATCAATAGGGGTCATTTGCTGGTCATGACTAATCACCATGCCAAGTTTGAAGTTCCTAGGCCTAAGGGTTCTTTTATTATTGATCCGAAACCGTTTTAACATACAAGGTCAATGTGACCTTGACCTTTGACCCCAAAATCAATAGGGGTCATCTGCTGATCATGACCAATCACTATGCCAAGTTTGAAGTTCCTAGGCCCGAGTGTTCTTTAGTTATTGATCAGAAACCGTTTTTACTTACAAGGTCAATGGGACCTTGACCTTTGACCCCTTGATCCCAAAATCGTTAGGGGTCATCTACTGATCATGACCAATCACCATACCAAGTTTGAAGTTCCTAGGCCTTAGGGTTCTTTACTTATTGATCGGAAACCATTTTTGCTTACAAGGTCGATGTGACCTTGACCTTTGACCCCTTGACCCAAAACTCAATAGGGGTCATCTGCTGGTCACCACCAATCATCATACAAAGTTTGAAGTTCCTACGCCTAAGCGTTTTTAGTTAATTGATCAGAAACCGTTTTAACCTACAAGGTCAATGTTACATGACCTTTGACCCCTTGACCCTAAAAACAATAGGTCATCTGCTGGTCATGACCAATCACCATACCAAGTTTGAAGTTCCTAGGCCTAAGGGTTCTTAAGTTATTGATCGGAAAGCATTTTTACCTACAAGGTCAATGTGACCTTTCCCTTTGACCCTTAACCCCAAAAATCAGTAGGGGTCATCTGCTGGTCATGACCAATCACCATACCAAGTTTGAAGTTCCTAGGCCTAAGGGTTCTTTAGTTATTGATCGGAAACTGCTTTTACCTAAGAGGTCAATGTGACCTTGACCTTTGACCCCTTGACCCCAAAATCAATAGGGGTCATCTACTGATCATGACCAATCACCATACCAAGTTTGAAGTTCCTAGGCCTAAGGGTTCTTTAGTTATTGATCCGAAACTGTTTTTTATCTAAGAGGTCAATGTGACCTTGACCTTTGACCCCTTGACCCCAAAATCAATAAGGGTCATCTACTGATCATGACCAATCACCATATCAAGTTTGTAGTCCCTAGGCCTAAGGGTTCTTTCGTTATTGATCGGAAACCGTTTTTACCTACAAGGTCAATGTGACCTTGACCTTTAAACCCCTTAACTCCAAAATCAATAGGGGTCATCTACTGATCATGACCAATCACCATATCAAGTTTGAAGTCCCTAGGCCTAAGGGTTCTTTCGTTATTGATCGGAAACCGTTTTTTACCTACAAGGTCAATGTGACCTTGACCTTTGACCACTTAACCCCAAAATCAATAGGGGTCATCTGCTGGTCATAACCAATCACCATACCAAGTTTGAAGTTCCTAGGCCTAAGGGTTCTTTTGTTATTGATCGGAAACCGTTTTTACCCAAGAGGTCAATGTGACCTTGACCTTTGACCCCTTGACCCCAAAATCGTTAGGGGTCATCTACTGATCATGACAATCACCATACAAGTTTGAAGTTCCTAGGCCTTAGGGTTCTTTACTTATTGATCGGAAACCATTTTTGCTTACAAGGTCAATGTGACCTTGACCTTTGACCCCTTGACCCCAAAATCAATAGGGGTCATCTACTGATCATGACCAATCACCATACCAACTTTGAAGTTCCTAGGCCTTAAGGTTCTTTAGTTATTGATCGGAAACGGTTTTTGCTTACAAGGTCAATGTGACCTTGACCTTTGACCCCTTGACCCCAAAATCAATAGGGGTCATCTACTGATCATGACAAATCACCATACCAAGTTTGAAGTTCCTAGGCCTTAAGGTTCTTTAGTTATTGATCGGAAACTGTTTTTGCTTACAAGGTCAATGTGACCTTGACCTTTGACCCCTTGACCCCAAAATCAATAGGGGTCATCTACTTGTCATGACCAATCACCATACCAAGTTTGAAGTTCCTAGGCCTAAGGGTTCTTTAGTTATCACTCGGAAACCATTTGGTCTACGGACCGACGGACCGACGGACCGACGGACCGACGGACCGACAAGTGCAAAGCAATATACCCCCTTTTTTTCAAAAGGGGGCATAATAATCTGGCTCGTGTCAAAGCAGATATATTGGCTCGTGTCGAACCAGATAAATTGGCTCGGTAAGAATCGAACATTTTCGCCGGTGTCGAATTAGATATATATCGCGTCGGATCAGTTAAATCGATATGTATCGAAAGAAATATAAACATTAATTTATTGTGAAAAATAAGCACAAAACTTAAATCCAGGCTAAAATTAGCTTAACTCGAATTTCGAATTAATGCACTCCGGCTAATTCGTTATCATTTTTTTTTCTATTTTTATGGTCTATGTAAGAATATCAAAATCTCTTATTTTAGGCCACTTCACATTTAATTTAGTAGTGCTCCCTAAAAACAAAAGAAAAAAGTACGTATTTTTTTTTATAAAAAAGCTTGATATGCTAAATAAAAAAGTACTAAAACTTAAAAAAGCTTGATATGCTAGAGACAGTGCTCTTTATTCCTGTAAGCGCAACAGTACTACAATACCTCAGTTTACAAAAAAACTAATCAATTCACAACTATTACGATAATTGGCAGTCTGGATCAATACCAACATTCTTGTTCTTTTTTCATTGACAATGTATTGCAAACTATAATAATGGCATTTTCTTTTTCACAACGCAAAAAAGGTAGAGGCAAAGTATTATAATAACATTTAGAGTTTATTTTATAAAGAATCAGACAACGACGAACGTAATCTCGCGAGAATTCAATCAATTCCCCTATCATTATAGAAGCAGATAACTAGATAAATACATTCCCATATCCCCGAAGACGCTATCATATTGTTAAAAATGATTTCTTTACACACAACGTCTGGGAGCTTGGACAAATTTATAAAATATTTCCAGCATTTACTTATAATGATAAGAACAACAAAAAAGACGCCAAACGATACATTAGGATGATTTAGTATTGCCCACAAAAATTGTCACCAAGCAGAGAAAATATCTTCTCAATTTTAGCTGTTCAAAAATTTATTCCTTTGTCACAACTGTAAGAAATTTTCCTTTGCATGATAAATGTAATAGAAAGCTAAACTAAGTATGCGAGGAACATCACTCAAACTAATCGGCACTGATCCATTTATAATCCCTCCATGAAAACGTTCTGTGAAATTCTTGTTTTCTTGTAATTAAGCAGTAACCATTATTCCATTTGTAATCAAGCGATAGCCATTGTTATAATTAAGCAACAAAACATTGTTCCGCTTGAAAATAAACGACAGCAGTTGTTGTTATAAAGCAGCAACAAATGTTCACTTTGTAATAAAGCGGCAGCCATTGTCTTTATTACGCAGCAACCATTGTTCAATCGGTAGATAAGCGTCAGCCATTGTTGTAATCAAGCAAACAAAATAATGTTTCATTTAATTAAGCGACAGTCATTGTTGTTATGTTGCCATTGCTATTTAGCGACAGCCATTGTCTCAATTGTAAATTTGCAGCGACATTGTTGCAATTGTAATTTTGCAGCGACATTGCTGTAACTGAGATTTTGCGGCGTCAATGTTGTAATTGTAATTTTGCGGCGTCATTATTTTATTGTAATTTTACAGCAGACATTGTTGCTTTGGAACTTTACAACGACATTGATGCTTTCGTAATTTTACCACGACATTGTAATTATTGTAATATTGCGACAACTTTGTTGTAATCGCAATGGCAGAAATATGTCGACTACAGGCTTTTAACACGCAAATTCAATTACATACGACTAAAAAAAAATTCTTGTATTTGTATCATGAGTTGCATCACTCTCTTATCTGACAGATCTATTTAGTTTTAAAACATAACTTTATCAATACTATGAATACATTACTAGTTCTGGCTAAAATCAAATCATGTCTTTCTCGAAACCAACAATTCAATTTTCTCTCTTTGGGGTTTTGTTGACAAACAAATTATTTATTTTTGCAACCAATTAAGGGATTTTCTTAAATATGTTTCTAACTGTGGAGCATTCCCATGTTCAAGCTTTAGACACATTTAAACTAAAACAAAGCAGACCTTTCGCCAAAATTCAATTTCTCTCTTTTTATGACAGCATTGACATTTCCAAACTTTAATTTAGAACTGAAATGATGTGTAAATTGTAATCCCTAGTCTCATTTGCTCGATAATAATAATTTTTTGCAAATAACTTGGTACCATTCTAGACAGGAAACTGCAAGCTTACGTCCACCCCCCCTCTAGCACCGGCTTAAACAGAATTCAACATTTAACATGAAATGATCCATCTCGGTGTATTGTCAGAGTACCAAACTGATTGACATGCATCCTGTTTCTTAATTATTTCGCGAAAAATATATATAAATTTAAAATTCAGGCAGACGACATTTTAAAGCAGCAAACGACAATTTTCCCAGCCTGCAACGGAATTAAGACGGAATAGTATATCAAGAATTCACACTTGGAGTAAACCAACGCATGTCACAGTTACTTGTTCATTTATTTCCCATAAGCATTAGAATTTTAAACCGTAATATGTAACAGAATAAAGGATCAATCCGATTAGAACGGAGAAGATGTGATGAAGAAGAAATTATACAATTCACAAAGGTGAAGAGCCGCCACCTTTCGACTGAACTGATACGAAACAATAGATTGAAAACCAAATCCCAAATGTATGTATTGTAACCGATTTCTATCACAATAAAGTAACTTAATTACTGCCGAACGTGAGAGAATATTTGTTCATACTTGCTTATATTCTACATTCGTGATGTTATTTTGTATTTATTTATTTATTATAGTCTCGTCTGTGTACAATTACATATATTTCAACATAAAAGATAAACATTACATTGTAAATAACCATTCTTTGAGTAGAATTACAAGAGAATTAAGATATTTGATATAATACTATATGAGCCGCGCCACGAAAAAACCAACATAGTGCATTTGCGACCAGCATGGATCCAGACCAGCCTGCGCATCCGCGCAGTCTGATCAGGATCCATGCTGTTCACTATCAGTTTCTCTACTTGTAATAGAGTTGGTAAGCGAACAGCATGGATCCTGAACAGACTGCGCAGGCTGGTCTGGATCCATGCTGGTCGCAAACGCATTATGTTGGTTTTGTCATGACGCGGCTGATATTCTGTTATGATGTTTGTCTGTTTGGTTTTACGGCGCACGAACACGGTAAAGGTCAGTAAACGCAGTAACGGCGTCGAATATAATAAATTGAAACAGAATGTCAACAGTTCGTATCATCTTACATTAATTTAAACTATTCTTGATATCTGTGTTGCTATAGAAACCAATAAGAATTTTAAAAAATGACTAATTGCAAAACAATTTATTTTAATCATCTGATAACTATAATTTGCTGGAATGAAAATATGATACAATGTCATTGAACTCCACTTGAAATAATATTTAAAGTGCACTAAAAATGTAAATGTTTTATGCAATACATTAGTTCACACGCAAACAACAATTTCAACAAATCTTAGAATGTTCTACCATCATTCTATTGTGTCCTTCATCATTTTGACATTAGTCTGTACAGTGTGACAAAGCACACCGTTTACTTGTAAGACGAAATAGACTTTCATCAACATGTTAAAAGAAAAGAAAAACTATGTCGCCTTTGTCATTTTTTTCCAAAATAGGAAAAATGAATATTCATAACCAGCATTAGAATTATTTTGACATTGAGTAAAATAATTCTTTTGAACAAATTTTTGAAGCATCCAGGAAACTGCCATCCCCCAACCCCCCCCCCCAAAAAAAAAAAAAAAAAACAAAAAAACAACAACAACAACAACAAAAAAACATAATATTAATTATTAATGTCATAAAGCTAAACCTGTGCATTCAAAACGGAAAACCTGCTGCGCTTTGATTTTAAAGTAACCAAGAGAAAGGTATCTGAGGAATTGAAGTTAAAAGTAGCAAAATCTCCTAGAAGATAAAAGTGATGCAAAAGAAGCAGCACTAAAAGCAAACAATTCCAAATAATAAAGACGTTTACAAATAAAATGTCTTATTATTGTTCATATACATTTGTATGTCCATAACAATGATAAAGTGAATAAATTACCTTTTACAAAACATTTTGGATCTGAGTAATAAAGGTAATAATGTTCTGACTCAGTATCATATGGCAGAAGATAGTGAAAGAAGAGAAGTTGATACCACATTATTATACTAGTTTAACTCTTTCTAATAAGAAGGAATGGATAATAATGAAGACGCTCGCGCATAATTAAGTGGTTGGATGACATAGCAAATCTTTTTTGGTCTTTGGTTATAACAATGACTATAGAATGCCTTTATTACATTTCAATACGGTCGATATTATAACAATAACTATAGTCTTTCTTTCAATACGGTTGATATAATAACAAATAAAGAATAAAGACTAAAATCTAGAAACATTTTAATAATAAGCAATCTGAATCCA